CTAGTGATGCAGACAAACTGGCTGGCTATACCCACAACATGATCTCGCATTCAAAACTCGAAACCAGCGTCAGAGCAGACAATGAACACAACTGGATGAATGGCACAAGTTCAGAATTCCGGTGGATTACTGCTACGACTGGCATGATACATGGTGTTGATCATCCAAATGTGGTCGCTGTTGTCTTCGTTGGTGTTCCATACAACATCCTCAACATCATTCAAGGCGCTGGTCGTGGTGGTCGTGGTGGTGGTTCTGCTAAGGCCATTCTCATCAATGACAGGGCTGTTCATATCATTGATCCTCATTCTCGACTTGATGATCGAGATTGCACAACAGAGACATTGCAGTGGGTGAGGGGTTGGGGTGGATGTCATAGGGCGGTTCCTTCGAAATTGCTAGATGGACATGTTCAAACCTGTCAGGAACTGGCCAAGATTCATTCCAACACACGTCTATGCAACTTGTGCAATCCCAACTTGCCATTCAGCAGTGCTTATCACCAGCTTATCCAGGACATCAAGCGCAGCGAATGGGAACGGATCATGGGTGTGGTACCAAAGAAGACTGTTACAAATATGCAAGCTGCTACAGTTCCCACCAGCACCACTCAACCAGCTACATCTGGAGATGATTCAGATGACGACCACTTGTTCAACAGTTTCAACGACTTTGAGTTGGCCAACTTGGATCAATCGCTATTTGAAGATACATCAGCATCAACAACCGCCACTACGTCTACTGCTTCTTCTGCTAGGGCCACCCCAGTGCCTGCAGTTGTACCTCCACCAGTCGCCCCAGCGTCTATCAGTCTTTCAGTTCCTTCTACCATATCCCGAAAGCGTCCTGCAGAAGCCTTGCCTAGTACAGCACCACTCAACAAGCGCCTACATCTCACACGCCCTTCTGAAACTCAGATACAGTCCATGTCGTCTGGACCAGCACTTCCTATTCAACTGGATCAAGCATACCATCGCCAGCTAGTTGACGCTAAAAACTACAAGTTCAATAAGCTCAACAGCTTGTGCAAGTACTTGAATGGTCACTGCAAAGCATGCTGGGCAATCAATGGCACTATGGTGAAGGCATCTCATTGGCCACCATTCATTGCATGTCACCAACATCAAAAGCTTCCTGGTCCATATGAGAATGCTATTGGGTGGCAGAATCTGAGGAGTATGATGAAGTACAAAGTGAAGTTCTCCTATTGCTTCCATTGTCATCTACCACAGGGCAAGTGCAAGACCACTGGGCAATCATGGCTACCAAGCAGTCATGGGGATTTATCCAAGGGAGACAGGTCATGTGGAGGACTCAAGGACACTGTGATACTGGCTGTATGGCATATCAGGAACACTCAGGAGCTGAGGGAAAAGGCATGCCAAGATCTGGCTCATCTGAACATGAATCCAGGAGCAGACTTGACAGCATTTGCTGAATGGTTGGTGATAGAAGAACCAGGGAACTTCAGCAATGCCATAGAGCTACTGCTATGGTTGGCCAACTACAAGGCTAAGGAGGCTCAAGGAGGAGGTAGTTAAATAGCATGTAAATGATGGATGCATCTACTATATCATTAGCTATTAAATACTTAGAAAATCCGCTCAAAATGGACTTTTTTGATTGTACAAGCTCAGGATTTGATTTTGAGAACTTGCTGGGGTGGCCAAAAGTGTCCAGAATGCGAAATTACATAGGGCACAATTGACCAAACATCACTAGCATTTATTTGGGACAGAATATAGTATAAAAAATGCGAAATTAGCAGTAAGATTGAGCTGTACTGGCTCAGGAATTGATTTTCATGGCTTGCTTGAGTGGACAAAGTTGTTCAGAATGTAAAAGAACATAAATCCGATGTGGGGCACAATTTGTAGCAGCAGATATTGCCATTTAAATTGAGCAAAAATGCGAAGTACAGCCAGAAGGTGACTCCTAGCCCCCCTAGATCATGTGCTTACAGAAAACCTCTGAAGTATTCTGTAAGCACATGACCCAGGGGAGCTAGGGGACATTCCCACAGGCAAAGAACAACAAAATTCGCTCAGAGGGCCTTTTTTTTGTGAGTACAAGGGCAGGACTTGTCCCAATTACTTAGGTATATAGAGGAAAGTTGCTCAGAATGATAAAATACATAAAATGCAAGAACTCCGAAGTAGTTAGGGCCATTTTAAAGCAGTCAAGAAGGGCAAAAATGCGAACTTAAGTAGCAAATAGTGGGCTACTGACTTAGGGATTGACTTTCATGACTTGCTTGAGTGACCAAAAGTGTTCAGAATGCGAAATTACATAGGATACAATTGACAGTATATACCTAGCATATTTTAAGGACAAGCTACAGTCTCCAAAATGCGAAATTAGCAGGAAGAATGAGCTGTACTGCCTCAGGATTTGATTTTCATGGCTTGCTTGAGTGGACAAAGTTGTTCAGAATGTAAAAGAACATAAATCCGATGTGGGGCACAATTTGTAGCAGCAGATATTGCCATTTAAATTGAGCAAAAATGCGAAGTACAGCCAGAAGGTGACTCCTAGCCCCCCTAGATCATGTGCTTACAGAAAACCTCTGAAGTATTCTGTAAGCACATGACCCAGGGGAGCTAGGGGACATTCCCACAGGCAAAGAACAACAAAATTCGCTCAGAGGGCCTTTTTTTTGTGAGTACAAGGGCAGGACCTGTCCCAATTACTTAGGTATATAGAGGAAAGTTGCTCAGAATGATAAAATACATAAAATGCAAGAACTCCGAAGTAGTTAGGGCCATTTTAAAGCAGTCAAGAAGGGCAAAAATGCGAACTTAAGTAGCAAATAGTGGGCTACTGACTTAGGGATTGACTTTCATGACTTGCTTGAGTGGCAAAAAGTGTTCAGAATGCGAAATTACATAGGATACAATTGATAGTATACCATTGGCATATTTTAGGGACAAGCTACAGTGTCCAAAATGCGAAATTAGCAACAAGATTGATTTATAATGCCTCTGGATTTGATTTTTATGACTTGCTTGAGTTGTTCAGAATGCGAAATTACATCGAACTGATTCAATACAATGTAAGATTAGAGGGTGAACCAGCAGCATCAGAAAGTACCAATGAGAAGGGAAGTCTCATCTTCCTTTAGTTTGTTCTTAACTCAAAGATGCAAAATCTATACTGACGTCCTGGCGTGGGAAAGTGTTATGGAAGAACTGTATAGCTAATTTACAGTTGAAGCGGAGTCCGAAATTATTATCTGACATCAATCCATCAATTTCTCTTCTTTCTTCTTTACCACTATCTGATCTTTGAGTGAATTGTTGTTCAACTGAATCCCTCAACAACTGCTTAGTTTTAGTTACTCCGTCTTGCTATACCAGTTTTCTACTACATAAATTGATACAGTATATACAAAAACAGATCAAATACATATAGTATATATAAAAAAAATGGCCTATCCTTATTAGCCGGTGCTGGCGGGGTCCGCCAGCATCACCTAACCCGGGACAGGTGATCAATGCATTTTCTGAAGCGCACTAACCTTCTGATCATTTGTTTGGCTGAGCATAACCTTTGATCATGTCTCCTCATTGTGGTATACAATATTCTTCTATTATTATAATTAAATATAATTAACAGAGGTTGTTTATATTGAAAGTGTTGGTTTGGATCTTAAAAAATTCAGTTCATAGATGTGAATGCAGACCTAAAGCATCATTGTTTGTTTTAAAAAACCATAAAAGTGTGGGAAATTATATGATATTACATTTTTAGAAGGTTATATCTGCTTAGGAGAATAAAAATTTAATCTAAGTTTGAAATCAAATGTATACTCAACCAATCAGGCATAGATATAATTCCACACAGCTGTACCTTTCATTTGAGCCTGAGTTCATGAGTTAGTTGGGATTATTCATTGTGCTAGCTGTACTTCCGCTATACTATTGAGTTGACTCCCTGATGAGGTTATTGGCAGCTAGCACAATGAATATTCTCAACTAACTCATGAACTAAGGCTCAAATGCAAGGTATAACTGTGTGGGATCACACTAGCATCTGATTGGCTGAATAGCACTTGTTGCTCACGAGCAAATCTCCAATAACCTCATCAGGGAGTCAACTCAATAGTATAACGGAAGTACAGCTAGCACAATGAATAATCCCAACTAACTCATGAACTAAGGCTCAAATGAAAGGTACGACTTTGTGGAATCACACTAGCATTTGATTGGCTGAATAGCACTTGTTGTTCACGAGCAAATCTCCAATAACCTCATCAGGGAGTCAACTCAATAGTATAACGGAAGTACAGCTAGCACAATGAATATTCTCAACTAACTCATGAACTCAGGCTCAAATGAAAGGTATAGCTGTGTGGAATCACACCAGCATTTGATTGGCTGAATAGCACTTGTTGTTCACGAGCAAATCTCTAATAACCTCATCAGGGAGTCAACTCAATAGTATAACGGAAGTACAGCTAGCACAATGAATAATCCCAACTAACTCATGAACTAAGGCTCAAATGAAAGGTACGACTTTGTGGAATCACACTAGCATTTGATTGGCTGAATAGCACTTGTTGTTCACGAGCAAATCTCCAATAACCTCATCAGGGAGTCAACTCAATAGTATAACGGAAGTACAGCTAGCACAATGAATATTCTCAACTAACTCATGAACTCAGGCTCAAATGAAAGGTATAACTGTGTGGAATCACACCAGCATTTGATTGGCTGAATAGCACTTGTTGTTCACGAGCAAATCTCTAATAACCTCATCAAGTACAGCTAGCACAATGAATATTCCCAACTAACTCATGAACTCTGGCTCAAATGAAAGGTACAGAAATCGTGGCCATGGGCAAAACAAAGTAAAAATAGAAAATAGTTGAAAAGAATATTTACAGGTACTTTTCGTAAAGAGAATAATCTCGAATAATTTCTGGAATGAATATCCAGTCCTTTTCAAGCTTCGGTAAGTCCATCCAAAGTCTGAGTCGGACGTGGTCCAGAGAGGTCCAATCAGGTGAAGATGTAGTTGAGCCTGGGAACGTCGTCGTGGTTGATTGTCTCTCCGTTCAGTAAGTGCTCTGCGAACTTGATCACGTACAGACCGCAGTCGTTGTCATTCTTCTGGTAAGGGAACTTGTGGAAGAACAATTCAGTCAAATTTTATTCTGATCAATGCGAAGGAAAAGATATGTACGTCTTCGTGAACATTGCAATTAGCTTTGGCCACAGCGAAGGGAGTCTTCAGGGTCCACAGTGTGGAGTTTTCCACTGGATCCTCAAACGGAAGAACATACTTATCAATCAGCATCTTGAGCCAAAGACAAAAGCGCTGTGCTCATGATTTATCCTAACCCCAAGCTGAAGGGAACGAATAAAACATACTTCAATGTATATAGAATAATGCTTTCCTTGGGCCCTCTTGGGCACCTTATTGGATCGGCTGTCCAGAATGTCGATAACGAGGTCTGCCAAATTGCAATGTACAAGGATCCAGTGATCCCCTGTGCATACAGGCAAAATAATCTTTCGAATATGCCTGAGGACGTTGCGGTTGAAGACCTTCATATGAACTGGTGTCAGCTTCAGCGACGCTTGGATAAGAGACCGTTCGACCTACTGTTTCCAAAGCGCACAAACTTTTGACTGTCTCCTGATCAAGCTTCCCAGAGTTCTCGTCGTCGTCGTCGCTGTCGTCCAAGCTGTCAACATCCACAGTTGTTCTTGCGAGTCGAGCCATGCAAGGCATAAGCCCCGACGAGCAGATGAGGATGTCCTTGCTTGCTCTGTGCACAACGGCATCCTCGCAACGAAAATTGCCTGCCCAGTTTTCAATTCACGCACTGTCACTAATGATCGGAGAGATTTACCCAAAGCGTAGTCGATCATGTCATCTGACAGCCAACTGCCTGACTTCAAACGTTTCACTTGGGTGGCATTCATGAACCCATGACTGTAATTGTTGTTCGTCATATCGATGATCTCGAAAATAAAAGAATACGTTAACCCATGTGTAGTTCGGGCTTGAGAGCGAGAGAAAAGAAAATACCAGGTTAAGAATTGCCGTCAAGGTCGGCGACGGTTGCGAAAGCCAATCCCGCACTCCAGACAAAAGTCCCGTCAGGCCGACTAAAATTTGGCGTCTTCCAACGTGCCAATGGATAGAACAACCTGCTTCAAATATTTCTTGGGAATGTAGATAACCATGGCTGTGAACTGCTTGTAAAGGTGAGCGCTCGAGGAATGCGCTCTGATCCACGACTCGTCCAATGTGTTCCAAATGACTCAGAAACTCAAGACGTTTTTTTACCCCAGTCGGCTGCCTCAGCAAATTTGACGCTGCCTTCAGCCGTGAGTCGAGTAGATTGGTGACATCTTCGGAGATTCTCCAATTCTCTACTGCTTCTAGAAGAATGTCTGCCTGTGCAGCCAGTGACTGGAGTAAAGCCTTACGGTCGCCGCCTAAAGATGTATCGGAAGACGTAGGGGAAGGGGACCGTGTGGAGGACGGATTTCTCAGGCTGGGAAGGGGCGTAGTCGAAGGTGATCCTGGCTGAGAAGCAGGAGGACTGTCATGCTCAAGAACGGGCGTTGCCTGATCCTCCGAAGGCGCGTCGAGAGGTTTTGTCGAAGGGTCGACTCCGTCTGAAGGACTCGGCTCCAATGATGGTTTCAGTGTGGGCGTCGGTGCATGTGATTGAAGGTCCTGCTCAAGAACGGGCGTTGCCTGATCCTCCGAAGGCCCGTCGAGAGGTTTCGTCGAAGGGTCGACTCCGTCTGAAGGACTCGGCTCCAATGATGGTTTCAGTGTGGGCGTCGGTGCATGTGATTGAAGGTCCTGCTCAAGAACGGGCGTTGCCTGATCCTCCGAAGGCCCGTCGAGAGGTTTCGTCGAAGGGTCGACTCCGTCTGAAGGACCCGGCTCCAACGTTGGTTTCGGTGTGGGCGTCGGTGCGCGTGATTGAAGGTCCGCTGTAGCTGTAGCAGTAGGCGATGGGGACAAAGTTAAATCCGAGGCCGTAGGAACGTCTGTTTGCGAGGAGACGTCCGTAGGTTGAGGCACTTTTGACCTGCTGGATGTGAGGGTCAAGTTAGGCAAAATGCCTGAGACAGGGAGCGTTCTTACTTGAGTTTTGACTTAGAACGTGCATACTTTTGCTTCCAAAAGTTGTCCACTTCTGCAGGGCTTGAAGACTGTAAGGGAACTGAGTTGAGTGAGACGAACAACTCACCTCTTGTTGGCTAGTCGATTCCGGAGTCGGATGGTGGACTTGGAAGGTTTTGTCCTCAGCTGCGTCCCCTTAGCGTTGAGAGCAATGGTGATTTCAGGAGCGGAGACGCTCCATGCCGCCAGACTGTGCTGCATCGTGCTCGGGATTAGTTAAATTAGTCGTTTCCGCGACGGAAAGGGAGAAGTCGGTCGATGACCTTGCCGCATAAGGGCACATCGAGGACATTACACTCAGCCACGTTAACATATGTACTACATATGTAGTACATATCTGAAAGTGCACTGCAATTGTACCACATATGCACTCAATATGTACTGAATACATATATGATCTCTGAATCATGTAGTGACAAAGTACATATGAACTACATTTGACAGTCAGATCTGAATCTGAACCATCTGGACTGAATATGTGCTGACAGCACTGAATTTGATCTGAATATTGCCTCAGTACATATGTAGAACATATGTGGCTCAGATGATTCAATTTCGGTCCATTTTCCGTTCATTTGTACATTTGAAACACATGTTTCAGCTGTACCGTTACTGATTTATAGCAAAAAGAATGATTTAGCATATTATCATTTTGGCAGTAACTTGAGTCGAACCAGCAACCTCTGCGGGCACAAGTCACATGATCAGAAACAGCGCTCTGAACCATTAGGCCATAAGTCCGTACTATTGGCCCCTACTCAGTGCGACAAGTAGTACTGCTGCGGACAAATTCAAACTCCGCCCCGCATTGCGCCGAACCCTCTGCCCTTCTGCTACCTCTCTTCCCTGCGCCCATCCACCCACCCATCCCCTTCCCCGCACCGACGACAACGTGCCAGCCACCGACAACGACCACGACAACAACCACGACGAGGCGACAACGACCAACCACGACCACGCGACAACAACCACAACCACGAGCGACGACGACGACGACAACCCCGAACACGACCACGCCCACGCCCACGACGACGACGACGTCGAAACAACGACGACAACAACAACAGCGACAAAGACGAGCGCGGAGCGACGACGACGACGAGCACAAAGGAGCGGGAGGACGAGGGGAAAGGCGGGAAGGGGCGGGAGACCACCCACGCGCGCCGCACCCCACGTAAACGCCCGCGCGCACGCACGGACACACCACACGCGCACGCGAGACCACCGAGCACGACGAGCAGGGCACCGACGGGGGCGCGCGTAATGTGCCCCCTAGGTGCGTGTTTTTTTTTCTTTTTTTTATATTATTGACTGTTCACCACCACCACCATCACCACCATCACCACCACCGCGTCGCGATGCGCACACCCACCGCACCCCACGTGCACGCGCCCACCCAAGCGCACGCGCGCCGCACCCAAGCGCACGCGCGCCGCACCCCACGCGAACGCCCGCGTGCACGCAACCACGCCCGCCCGTACCCACCACGCCCGCACGCAGGTGCCGACGCACGCCACCACGCCCGCACCCACCACACGCGCGCACCCACCACGCCCGCGCCCGCACCCACGCACCCAGGCGTCGACGCACGCCACCACGCGCGCACGCACCACGCCCCACGCGCACGCACCCACGCCCCGCGCCCAAGCGCACACCCGCGCCCAAGCGCACACCCGCGCCCGCGCGCCCACCACGCCCGCACGCGCACCCAACGCCCCATGCGTACCCAACGCCCACGCGTACCCAACGCCCACGTGCACCCCACGCCCACGCACACACCGCACGCCGCCGTCCCGCGCGCACGCGCCCAAGCTCGCGAGGACACCACGCGTGTGCACGCCACCACCACGCGCACGCCCGCATGCACCCCACACGCCCGCACGCCGCCACCACGCCCGCACGCCGTCCACACCACGCGCGTGCACGCACCCCACCCCACCCGCGCGCACACGCCCGCACGCACCCCACCACCGCACGCACGCACGCACGCACGCACCGAAGCGCACGCCCGCGCGCACCCACCCAGGCACTGGCGCACGCCCGCGCGCAAGCCGCCAGCTCGCTCAGGCCACGACGACGCGACCGCCACCATCACCACGCGTACAACGACGACGCGACCACGACGACGACGAAACGACGACGAGGACGAGGACGCGACGACGAGGACAACGAGGAGCACGGGGGAGCGGGAGCCGCGCGCGCACGCACACACCCCACGACCCACGCGCGTACGCCCGCCCGCCATCTCGCGCACGCAGGCACATGCGCCACCATGCACGCCGCCAAACGCACGCGCGCCACCACGCCTCCAAGGGCACGCACCCCACGACCCACGCGCCACCACGCCCCCAAGCGCACACACGTACGCCGCCACCACGCACGCACGTACCCCACGACCCACGCGCGTACAACGACAGCGCGACCACCACACCACGCACGGCGTACGCCCACCGGCCATCTCGCGCACGTAGGCACGCACGCCACCACGCACCCGCCGCCACCACGCGCACACCCGCCATCACGCGCACACGCCCATCGCGCGCACGCGCAATCACCACCGTGTCGTGAGGCACACACACGCACGAGCAGGGTGCGCCCTCGCATAATGTGTCCCCCAAGGTTTTTTTTTCTCAATTTTTGTTTTCATATTATCTGGCACTATGACCACCCGAGCCGGCACAGGGGAGTGTGCCGGCTCCCTTTTATTTGTTAATATGTAGTATAGAATACTTAATAAATTATATTTATGGTCAAAATGGGTGACTTTCGCAAGTACATGTCACTGCGGGCACCCAACTATTTTTCTGCCCGAAAACCCCCGTGGGAAAGAGGGTTTGTAGTTTCTGACGGGTTTTCCTGTCAGGAATGCGTAGATTTTTTCTGCTCGTAAAATTGTAGAAATAGTATGAGTTTTCCCGCAGTTTTGCTGAGTGGAAGATGTTGTAGGGTTTTCCTAACGGAAAAATGTCAAGTTTTTCGAACGGTATTTCAGTAGGAAATCCTCATAGTTTTTCGGAGGGGTTTCCGCATTTCCCCGTTATTCTGGTGGGAAATTGGTAGGTAATGCTTGATTTAATGTCAGAAAACTTTGAGGATTTCCGGCAGAAAACCTTTCGAAAGACTTGGCATTTTTCTATCAGAAAAACCACCCAAAAAATGTTACGTTTTTGTCACGGGAAAAACAAATCATTTTCCGGTGGTTTCGACAGTTCCAGAATGCAAGGGAAAACTCAGCATCTTTCTCTCAGCAAGACTATTGAAAAATGCATATTATTTCTGCCATTTTGCTGGCCAGAAAACTCTAAGTATTCCCGGCCGGAAAACCTGCCGGAAACTACAAACCCTTTTTCTCACGCAGTTTTTCGGGCGGAAAGATAGTTGGGTGCCCGCAGTGCATGTATCTATGTGATGGCTGGAATGCTTGAGAAGTCGTGTAAGTGCCAGGTCACATCCCGCGAGAAGTGCCTGCTGGCATCCCGACACTGGCATCCGTACCTTACAACAATGAGGTGCCTTTATGTCAGGACTGTGCCGACCCCTAAGCTACGTGTCCGTCTCATCCGCCTGTACCTTCCGTCATCTGTCCTCGTTAACCTTCGCTCAAGTCTTTGTCAGTTGCATCTGTCACCTTCCGGATATCTTCCGCATCATCCATCCATATTAGTTACTGAAACATATCTGCTTGGCTTCCCTTAGTTCATCCATATGCTCTACTCCACTTCTTACCTATACACACAATATATCCGTCCGGCTATCCGCCCACCAGACCTTCGCCATATGTTACTTACTGTTTCATCGTCCCTTCTCTCATAGCCTCCTGGATCTTACGATCTGTTTTGTCCCTGGCCTCCGTCGTATAAAAGCTAGCTAGTCCGCCTTGTAAACCTCAGTCTGACTATTAGTTCAATCTACAAAAGTCTTTCTACCTCTCGTCTGAATCTCTCTAAGTCCCTCCGCCTTGCCTTTGTGTGATCCGTCCCCTCCGTCACTCTTGCTCTCTGTTGGACTTATTGTCCGGCAGCCTTCTCGCTCTCGGTACGACACTAGTCGTTGGAGTTGGAAAGCAAAGCAAGAACTGTACAGTACACAAATAAATCATATGGGGGGTGTACATGCCTAAAACAGAAGTGGCTGGAGAAGCATGTGCTATGGGCGCTTCCGGCGCTTACTGGATGGTCGATTTAGCGCCGGGAGCCCAGCAGATGCCACACTAAGCTTGTCAAATAAAGGGCAGAAATGCGATGCACGTCGAAGTATAAGTGAAACATAAAGGTGTAAGTAAAAGATAAGGCAAAGGATTGTGAAATAAGTAGAAAAGAAAAAGCGTACAAGGTACTCTAGGGGGTTCTCCTTACACCCAATGTGTACCATCACTAATTTACAGCAAAATGAGACAGCGAAATGACATATTGGGTGCACAACAAGCTTGTTTTGAACATGGGATATCAGGACTGTGTCAATCCCTAAGTCACACATCAGTCCTTCCGCCTATTAATCTGTACCGTCCATCACCCGTCCTCACAATTCCACTTGCAAGTCTTTGTCTGTTGCATCTGTCATGTTCTGTATACCTTCCACATCTTTTCCAGCAGCAAAGAATCCCTTTGCCAGATGATCTACAGATGAGACCAAGTGGTAGTGCAGGCCTTGATAGTGCCGGCACATATGTAGGACACTTGCAGTACATATGCACTACATATTCAGTCCATATACAGTTCATATGCAGCACATATGTACAACATATGTAGTACAATTGTAGTACATATGTCAGCTACTTCATTTAGACCCCAAATTGGTCTGAAATAGAACTAAATATGTTCTGAATATGTTCTTCTGTACCGCAATTGTACTGAAGTTCACCTCGTCATCACGTCTTACTTAGCTAATTAGCTAGTGTCCGTACCCCGTGTAGAAATAGCTAATTAGCTTCGAAATGCCGATAGCCACACACTGGCAGTAATTGCCCGAATAACGTCTGAACGAGGAAATCGTCTAAGTCCCCGAAAACGGTAAGTGCTCGTCGTTGCGATCGGAGGTCGTCGGCACGTTCCCACACTTGCTGATTGCTTTCCACCACTGCGGCACTTGACCGCATATGTCCGCCGCCGGCTGTCAAACCTTCGCGTTCATTGTTGCCAACAGCGAGCTCGATATCTCGGTCATTTCTGACCCATTTCATTAGATACTTTCGTCATAAATCA